TTTGTGGGAGAACGTTGTGTCACATTGCAAGGCGATTTTGAACTCAAACCGAAGTTCCATTGTTTCGTACTAATTGTTTTGAATTATATCAGATTGAAATGTCCTCACGTGCCTTTCATAGCTCACATTTGAGTGCCATGACCACTGGTATGGCGAACTTTGTTTGATGAATAGATCAAAAATTTTGTTTTATCATGAAAAAGAGACATTGGGTCACAAAAGTTTAATCAATGTCTCCAGAAACGATATATTCGTAGTTTTCATGAGCTTTATCATTCGTGGTTATCATTCGTATCATTTCATGGCTTTATCATTCGTATTGCGCGGTATTACAACTACTGTAGTCGACCTGTAACTGGCTAAAAGACTGAAATGCACCAGATGAACTGATGTCATCGCAGCTATTAGTCGCTTTAGGTGCACATTTTCAACTTTTAATCATGATGTCATAGTGTTTTTCCCCCAATGTTTTGCCTACGTTTCAGTACAATGATTTCATTGTTCCCAGTAATCACAAGCAGGCTATTCCGTACACTGGGCAAGTTTAGATTTTTTTGAACAAAATATTCACTTATCAGTTTGTCAAGAAAACCTTCATAAAAGCTCGCACTCTTTATACATGTGATTGGGAAGAAAAGTACGCTTAAATTGAAGTTAATATGATTATGAAAATAGAATGCTAGTTATTATTATATATATATATATATTGCTGGAGAATGCATCCATCATGACTGCGTCTGGCTTTTTCAGACTTAGAATCAAAAGTCAAAGCAAATGTCAAGATTAGCGTTAAACTGTTTTTACCTAGAGTTTTGTTGATGCTCTTATTTTGAAATACATATTTGAGTTTTTGTTTGATGCTCTCATATTTTGCGTTGTTTTTTATGCTGCCGCTCATCAGCAAAACTTGTTCCAACAATCTGATTTCTAATCTTTCGAAGCAACCATAAAAACACAAAAAATCTTTATACCTCATAAGAAATATTTTTATTTTTTTTTTTGATTTTCCAAATTTTTTCATTGTAGAATTTCTCGGAATATTCTGCTTTTCCTTTTCTCCGTTGCTTGGCACTGAAACAATATTTATGTGCTGAAATTTTTTTTTTGCATTGATGAAATAAAAAGACTAGCTGTCTCAACAATTTGAGACTTCGTTATTGGTTAGTTATGACCATTGTTATTTTCACGCCATGCAAGACACCCCTGCAATAAGTTCATTTCTGATGAGGGACTAATGGTGAGCTTGCCTTCTGGGCTTGGATACGCTCAACCTGACAGCCGCTGAATTTCTCATGCACACAACCAGACAAAGTTCCAAAATGAACTTGCTTTGTTCACTCCATTCAACATATAAAATGATATTGTGGCCGTGTGAGGTCAGGACTACAACGCTTCCAAATCCTATTTAGTCAGATACATATATAACTAAATGTACAATAAATGCAGTTTAAGGTATAAACCTAATGACTCAAATCGTATCCCAAACCATCTCTGCGTGAAATACAATCCTTTCCTATAAGTTAACACTAGTTTCATAACACAAAAAACTACAGCTTTTTCACCAAATACTGGAAAACAAGAAGACTGTCCCAACAACTGGTTGCCATAATATGCACAAAGGGCTTTTAAAAGAAAGGTCACTAGATCACAAATTATTATCTCAATCACAAAATATTACCTCAATCGAGTAAGAGCCATCAAAGTGGATCATGAGTATCTGGAACCTTTAAACGAAAAAAAAGAAATCATCCTCAACAAAGTATTAAAAAAAAACTAAAAATAAAATAAAATAAATTATGTATTGGGAGCCCAGCGGCAGTACTCGTTTAGATTTTATACCAGATCTTGTGGTTTTTTCAACGGTCATATTCAGAAACCTTTGCATGTGAATTTCAAAGGCTTTGAATGTTTAAATTTAACTTCGGGCCCTCAACCCTTTTTTAGACTTCTGGAGGCTAGTCGTAACACTGTGTCGCGTGTGAATATCTTTGATAGCGTGGAACTTTACAAACTATACTTTCGGTTGGCCTGACTACTATTTTTTCGGTGGACCTGAAGACATCTCGCGGCACACCAGTGTGCGTGCGCGCATAGTTGGGGGACTGACGTTTCATATACTGTTCTCAGATGATTTGGATGTGCATACTTATTGTTTTCAATATCGGAAATGCAGCTTTTTTCAATATAATGGTTCGGGGCCCCAAAATGGTCTGCTGGGTCATCTGCGAAGTTTCAAATTGCCATAAACTTTTTACAAAATTTGCCACCTGAACTCAACTTTTCATGTAGCTGCCTAGCCTTTCAGAATATGGATTTCAATCTTAATTTAGCATCTGATACAGTCAAACACTTGTATTCTGATAAAACATTTAATAGGATTCTTATAATAACGGCTTGCTATTGTGAGCATGTTGAAAGGTAAGTATTGTGAACATAAGGTGCATCTTCAGCAGTTGACTTTAAACTCCGTGGGAACACTTGAACCGTATTTCCTGTCACGATGAAAGAAACAATTCATGTGACACTATCTTCCCTGCGTTGTATGTCAAAATGTGACGACATGACGAGGACTAGAAAATATAAAATATATGCTTGAGACCAGCAGCAAATGGTTACCAACAGATACTTTTTTATCAAAATTATAGACCGGGAAAATACTATTTTATTGAAAGTACTGGACGTATCATGATGATTATTTTTTGCAATAAGCCACGTTTTCAGCTACAACTAATTAAAAACAATGTACCGAAAACAAGTGCATTGTTGCATGTTATGTGGAAAAGTTTGGAAACATTAAATTAATCATTGAAGTCAAAGTTTCCTCAAGTATATAAATAGTAGTTTTGTTAGTGAAATTAATGCCCAAAATATCACAGTTGACAGAATACCTTCTATAAGGACGTCATAGTAATTGAAAAAGCTACAGCTTAGGAAGAAACTTGTCTATTTTTTAACACAATTTTTAACATACTACAAAATTGCAATCAGTGTGATTGAATTTTTCGACTACTCGTCACCTCACAGTGAATTGTAAATTTGTGCCAATTTAAACTAAGAAAGTCATTTGCATCATGATAGAAGATATCAAACGTCAAAATTATATAGAAATTGCATTATACTTAATTAAATGCAATGCATTGGATTTGCAATAACATTCAAACCAAGAATCAGCCCATGTCACATCACTTGATCTTACTACATTGGCCAGAACAGTTGCAAATTTGATAGCTGCCATCAGCCTCTAAAGTGCTCTTCTGTGTCTTGAAATTTATCAGATCAGGAAGGGGCGAACAAATCAATTGCACATACATCCTATCTACAGCTTGTCAATCGAAGAGTCCATGAGGCAAAACCAAGGCGTGCGCATGCACAACGTGTCATGAATCATTGTTTGCAATTTCTCAACATACACAAGGTTTTACATTATAATGTCTTGTGCGGTTGAAGGAACAATCGTGCGGAAGCGCATACGATAATAATATTTGGTTATAGCATTTTTCAACAAAACCGCAATGACCGGAAAAATGATTGAAAACAGGCATTAAAGTAAAATAGACAGATAAATACTTATTTGTGACCAACATTTCAACAGTACCTCTGAAACTTCATGCATTCTAGGAAATCTTTTAGACTTAAAGTTATCAAAAACAAGCAGTGTTTTGTACTCTCTGAATTTGTGAAATATTTTGAAAATGCAATTTCAAACAGTTCCATTACATTTGAACCCATTTGAAAATTTTTTTTACGAATATTTGAACACATACTAACCCTAACCTATGGATTTTACCCCCCCCCCCCCTCCTATAGATTGAGCCCGCGGATACACGGGTACAAATGTATGGGTTCAAATGTACGTGGATTCAAATATACGGTCACCATTTCAAACATTGTGCTCTATAATGAGAAGCGTGTCGCCAGCTATAGGTGAAACGATTATTTCAACGGCTGGACCTTGTGTCAATTAGTTCATGTGTTACATTGTTTATTCAGACCAATACTAAATGATATATTTTATACAATGATACCAATAAATTGCCGGCAAGCCTAGTATTGTGTAGTGGTCTTGTGACAAGTTTTGCCAGAAAGCATTTTATTTCTACCCGGTCGAATTCGAAATCAAATTGTGTAGTCTGCTGTTCCAATGGTGTCGAGAAGGTGATGTAGACCAATTCAGCTTGTTCCTATCCCGCCAATCACAAAGCCGGAGATGTCAAACGTGGTAGATTGCTAGCGGTGGTTCTCAAATCTTCATGTACCGTTTATCTTTTAAACCATTCTACACATTGACATTGTCAATTTGTCATCGTCCCATCGTTCATAATTAAGAATCGCTTCGCGAACGGTTCTTGGCGGATGTAACCAAAAATGCAACTTTGTCGAAGATATACATCTCCATAAAGTTTGGTATTCACACTAATCATAAAGGTAGTCGGAAGTTCTTACTTTCGTTCAGGAGGATACTAATCACATCATCTTCCTATTCTTTGGATATTTTTTGCTCTCGTTGTAGTTGCTGGTTCTCGTTTTCTGTTATATTCCTAATGAACCTGTCACTAAATCATTACTGTCTCGATTTCAATGCAAATTTTTAATGGGGAAAGAGTGATTAGAAACTCATGATACTAAATAAAAATTTGAATGTTTTGCAAATTCTGTGGGCTGGATTTTTATTCATTGGAGACATTTTTGACTTATGTACTGCCAATATAAAGAAAAAGAATCTGAGAATTAAAAAGAATATTTTTGAACGAATAGTCGCAATAATTCTTTTAAGCCCGATTTTGACGGCTTAAACTAATTTTTCACAAACAATTCTTCTTCATTGTCCCCAGTTTCGCATTTCTGCGATTTATTGACATGATGCCCTTTCATTTAACTATTCAATTATCCTATGTTGTGTTTTAAAAAATCTCTGTGAAAAATAGGTAGAATATGCCATCTTTGGATATTTGTTTTCAGATATAATGCACGAAGTAAGATGTTATATTTCTTCCGTTCAGATGCCAGACAAGTTGTACCAGGTATTTGGCGTCAATGATCCGTTTAACGAAGTAACGTCATGTCGAACTATGACGAAGATACAATCTATATTCAACACACAGCAGATGAAAATAAATTTTACGAGTTACTCGTAAGTTTATTATAATTTGCAAAACTTTCTATTGGAATTTCCATAGTCATTCATACAAAACAAAAATGCCTTATTTTGTTATATGGTATTATATATTTTACCGTGTACAGTGAATATGACTAATTAGCGATATGTGATTAAATGTTTGAAAAATTATAATATATATTTGCATGGTAAGATACTTGAAACGTATAAATTGAAATATTTCCAACATTCCAGTGAGAAGTTTGGTCAGGGCCCTTTCAAAGGCATTTATCAAAAGAAAGACACGGGCACCTACAAATTAATCCTATCGGAAGAAGCTCGCGAAGGTATAAAAGCGACCATGATTATCTAGTTCGAACAAGTACTATATAGTGGAATAGTAGTATAAAGTAGCTAATAATTAAATGTATGGCCTGACCTATTGTGTGTCAGAAGACAAATATTTATCAAGGTAATTTGCTGTTTCTACAGCATTATTACGCATAGAACAAATTTTAATTATGGTCAAGTTATCTGATTGTCGCCGGCCTTTTCCATGTGATTGATCTGTCGCAGCATCTTTCTTCCTTCCAGGGTGAAAATATTTTCCCATTCTATTCATATTGTTAAATTGGTTTCATAATATTTTTTATATCGTTGCATATATATGTGACACATATACATGAAGTATACAGCGGCAGAAGGATTTTTTGTAGATGATGCAATGGATAAAATATGTTTTATCCTGTATTGTATACTAATAATTAATCAGTATTATAGGTTTCATAATATTATAACTACTTCTAAAACTTTTTCGTTAGACGTAATTCTTCATGGCAAATTCGTTGCTGAAGTTAAGAAAACAGAGAACGCCGAGGATCCTGTTAAAGGTGCTGTTTATTTATTATATATTATTTAGGATTAAAAACTCGCGACAACCAGGTCATTTTTCTAAAGTAAATTTGGTAACACTTCTCCAATTGCCTGAAATTGGTTGGTGGGCGAAACCGTAGATGACGGCAAAGTTCCTCAACACATCGTTTCTCAAGAAGTGCGGTGAGGAGACGTATAATTTACGTATAATTAGAAAGCCATTGATGTTATCTGTAAGTTGTGCACAAGTATTGCGACAAAAACGTTGTTGGACTAGACGGATTTTTGACTTGTTTTAATGGCTGTTTTATTTGTTTCCTTATGTATTAAATATGTTAAAACAAGAAAAGTGAATGTTACAATTTACCTAATCGATTCTTATCGTCAACATATTTTTCGAAACGCCACATATATCGATGCTTTATCCGTATAGGCCCACAAACGTGGTCAGGTCAGTACTGCAGAACGATTCTTCGACGGCGGGACGTTCAGCAATCCTCCCAAATTCGAACTTACGTAGGTACGAAAAAAAATGATATCGAAAACAAGCCCTTGTTTCAAAACGCGATGTTTGAATAAAAAACCAACTAATACAAATGCATTTGAACTTAATTTAGAATTCGATTCATTCCTGGATAACGATCAAGTCTTCTACTCATGCGATGGAAAGGTGCTCATTCATGTTTGGTGCAATGAAAACGGTAAGGACATGACAACTTGAATGTTCATAACAGTATTCAAACAATCGTTGACTAACTTAAGCAGACAATGATCGTGTTCAAAATTTTCATTCAGTGATTTCATCTTGTTCATTATGCATTTAACTTGAATATGCCGAAACAGAAAAATGATTTTATTTGCATATTGATAGGAAGAGGGATTAGAGTGTTTAAAGGGAGTTCAAAATCGACTGCCGAAGATGCACTATATGTCCACAATACTTTCGCGAAGTGGAAGAATGGATGGGAAAATATAAAGCTTCACCCTTCTACATGCTCGCCTCAGCATGCCAGTATATTTTAAAGACTACAAGTAATATTATTAATTCAACTTCATGAAACGCCCATGTTTTTTATTCACACAAAAGAATATATTAATAGTGAAGAATTTATGCATTTAATAAGCAGTTATTGTTTTAGATCTTTATATACAGGTATAAGAACAATACATTTATCCATCATAAAGTGAATGTTTTATCTGGATACTGAGTTATATATATTTTATGAGATGCTAAATTAAGATTGAAACATATCCTGTTCAGCTACATAAAAAGTTAAATCCCTACGATGACTCCAATGGTTCACATACAGCATAAGTAATTTCAAACTTTACCGTTTTTGCAGCAAATATCGTAAATGGCTAAAATCGTTATTTCCAAAGCCTCCTTGCGCTAATGATTTGGTTTCTGCGAGAGTAACTACTAATCATTCTTCTATGCGCTTGTGCCGGTGGATTCCGCATGCATATAATGCACGAATGTTGTAGCAAAAGGAAATATTTTGCACTGGGAAAAAATTCACTAATGAGATTATAGTCCTGTATTTCGTCTGAACTATATCAAGATTTGATGTAAAGACAAGCTACCGCAGGCAATCAGCAGTTTTAACGGTACTTTGTTGATGTGATACGTACATATTTTGGATGCGCGATGCGCGTTTTGTAACATTCCTACTGGATAAACTGGGATAGTCCCTGTATCGTTACCCCCATAGGCCTGCATGTACTGGTAAGTTACCGCGCAAGATTTTCAGGAAAATGATGATAATATATTTCCTTTTGCTCTCCGTGCCCATATATTTGAGCATATCTGTCTTGTTATCAGTAGGCCTTTACCAACACCTTTGAGTTTTTGTTATTTCAACAGACGTTGAAGATATTGTTGGCAAAAAACAAGGATAGCCGGGGCATTAAATGTATTTTTTTTCTTCCTGGCCAAGCCTTATTGTTCATTCTTGATTTTTCACGAGCTGTATCATTCTTGATTAGGGTTAGTTCGGATACCTATAATTTTCACTATCCGGATAACGGATATATCCGGGTATTCCGTATTTTAAATATACGGTTAACCGGATAGTTACTGCTGATTTTAGAGAACCGATTTCGCAGGATTTTCGCGGTGAATTGAACGAATAACACCACACAGTTCTGTTGTAAATACTCACATATGTATTATTTTTCTTGAATATGAATTATTGTGCATTTTAATATTGCATGTGTCAATAAATAATAATTTAAGCTCAGTAGTCGTACCGATGTACAGCGGAATAATAAAATGAAACATTTTTTGAAAAATATTGTGTCCTAATTTTTTTTCCCCCAACTGCTAAGTTATTTTCCCTATTCAAATAATATGTAAAGATTTATATTATTTCTACTTTATTGTAAAGTTTTTTAAAAGTTTCTTTTTGTGTCTAGAGCCTCTTTTCTTTAAATTTCGACTCGTACTAAATTTTAGTGTCGCAGACTCACAATGATCATTTCTGATCATCCGCACCTTCCTATCAATTGCAATGAAATTTAATATTGTCATGTATAGTATTTTGTTTTCTATAATATTTGGTGATTTCTTGCACGACGAAATAAACTTTGTTAATATATACCACAAGAGCATACATATAAATGAAATCATGAACACAAAAAATCGTGCATTTCGAACATTTTATTTCGGTGAGAGAAGTATCCAAAAAATAGAATATAGGGGGAACAAATTCCGTGAAGTGTATAGGAAAATATAAGTCATTTGAACAAAAATTTTAATAACAAAGCAAATTGATGATTATGAAAAAACCGAAGTGGTCAGAAATTTCTTCTAATTTGAAAACTTCACTTATTTAACATGTCACTGTAAATATTCTCACGTTTGTACTAATTAGGCCACAACTTTAAATCTATTTCTATTCGAATACCTTTTAAACTAAATTAACAGAGCCAAAACAATGCTGCGCCAGTTTTTGAACAACTTTACTTACCACCCTAAATGAGTAAACGAAAAACATGACACGATACAGAGTCTGTCACATTAAACTTTTCTGAAATATTATAGACCATTTTGCAAACAAATTTGTTTGTGAAAGTTCCATGAAAACCATAAATGTAATAACAGCCTTTCCTCCTCATTTTGAAATTTTCGAAAACGTCACTAATAAAGGCGGTCGAATTTTACAGGCTAATTGTATTATCATCGCCGATCGTTTTCTTCCGCATCGCGTTATTATTTGGGGAATTAACATCGGCATTATGCCAGTTTTAATTTGAAAAGAAGTTACATCCCGTGAAAAGTTACCCTTGTTGTAAATTCAGTAAATACGATTATTACGATTCAACAGCGCCTAAAATAGAGTCTTGTTTTATCTATCACTGGCTCATAAATCAAGAGTCGTGGTATTTTCGTTAGCATTCAATTCCTTATTGTCAGTCAATAATGTGTGTTTCAGATCTACTCTCTTAACGATAGATAGATACGACGACAGATAACATACTGAGGCCATTTCAGTTCCTGGCGAAATAAAACAATTATCGGCGTTATATACCGACGAAACTGAACCCGACTTTTCTCCCGAAAATGTTGATATATAACTATAAGCTAATTAATATCTGCATTTATTGTACTAAATAAATTATACTCATTGGAATTGCAATAATAGCTCAAATTTGATGAATTTTCAAGATAGCAAAAATAGGAAATTGGATTTGTTCGTGCAGCTTACCATTTATTTTCATATCTAGAGTAGAAATGCTTTTATTTTAAGGTAAGTCGGGCTCTTCTATACTGCAAATACGCAATAATCACATTTTTCTTCGTGTTTTGTGATGTAATACTATAGTCAAGTTCACTCCCAGCATTACACGGATGACTAAAATATGCAGAGTGGTGTGGATATAAGTGAATATTATATGCTCTGAGAGATGTCATTGGCCACTCAACAAAAAATATAAAAAAAATCACTAATGCGCATATGCATTATTTATACTGCTCTATTATCCGGTTAACCGTTACAATAATATCCGGTTATCAGATAGCAAAATACCTCTTGGTTAATCGGTTATCCGGTTAACCGCTATCCGGATAATCCAACCCTATTCTTGATACGTATTGCACCAGTACTGCAGTCACAACTACTTCAGCTTATTTTTAGATTGAAGTAAAGGGCTTTTATAATTAATTTTTATGGTTGAAATGCTAGTATGTCTTCCGCATTAATTCGTGATTCGGCGTTAATTCGTAAAGTGGCGGATCACTTTATTAGTAAATTGCTCATAAAAAAGGATGTGTCTTTTCATTAATATTATATGTTGAATTTTCATTACCAGTGTTCGGAGACCAGTGATATTTTGCCCAATCGATGTTAAATGATTTATATAATGCTAAGAAGTTTTTCTTAATTAATTTCCAACCTATATTTACATTCGAATTTTAGCCATTTAGTTTTCAAACAATGGCAATATGTTGTGGATCTGCTTAGATGCGACTTGAAAAACTTTTCTTTCAATTATATGGGTAACTGGATACATGTAGGTACATCCTGTCCTATCTTCATCAGCACAAAGCTACGTTACCGTAAGCGGTTATCGTCGTCACAGTGTACGGTACGTTTAGTACATACATACAGTTGATCAAATAACACTATTCATTATTATTAAAACGGACGTATTCAATTAGTTCTCAATGTCCAACACTCTACCATTGCAACCATGGGCTATACATCTACCTACTGACCCGGGGTCGCCTTCAAAGTAGCAAAAGTGGGGAATATCCTGACAATCTTTATGGACTCACGGCTCTCTAATCTGAAACATTTATCTATTCTCAAATATAATAGTAACTAATATTTAGTTGATTAATTTCTAAAAAGCCAAAAAAGTAGTTCCTAAAACTAAACCTTGGGTGTCGATGCCCGATAACCAGTTTTGTGGTTTCTCGTGGCTATATACCTCCCTAGTTAAAGTGTGTGAATATCTTTTCTCCTCCATTTTTTTGTGTAAAACTGACTTATTTACTGGTGGATAAAAAATAAACTTGACTGACGGGATCATTGTAACGCCACTGTTGGTACATATACTAGTTACCCTAAACATGGTTTACCAATATTATAATTTTTAATAATAAATAATGCGCCAATTTATGCTAAGGATGTATCAGACATTACTCCAATATGAATTAAATTGTATTTGTATAAGCATTAAACCGACTGCTTATGCACTAACGTCCAAGGCACTGTTGTACATCCCCGAGGTGACTGACCTGACTCAACAAATTATCTGAAAGACGTCAATCTTATTCCTTATCATCATATTATCCCCTACTACACAGACATGGATTGAAGTAAATAAGTGGATTGCTACTGATTTTTTCGTAGTGCCTAGCGGGTGGGTTAAAAACACACAGACTATATGGATTCAGAACTGCGATACATTCATTAAATTTTGCAAAATGTGGGAATAGCGCCAATTTTCTTAGTCAAGTAACTTATATATTTATAATATATATATATATATATACAGTATATGTAAATTATTCACCGACAAATTTCATTAACCATGTATAGTTCTTACCATTACGAGACGAATTTCTCATTGATATCGGAAATCTGACATTCTATTAAAATATTTAAGGTTTGAAGCCCTGTAGAAATATGCACATTCACATAAGAATTTAATTTTGGGTTACTCAATAGAGCCGTCAGAAAGAGTCCCGGGCTAATTGTTCACATTAAATGGGAATCCTTGCAATAATATTGGCGCCTTGTCATCATCTCTTACGATGTTAACAGTATATATCTCCTGTCTATACTACCCTCGATCTAATGCTGCTTTAAATATCTGCATAACGATTTTTCCCGCTTATCTCTGACTGGCTACTAAGTTACTAACACGGACACAAGTAAAATGAAAAAAAGCAAAGAAAAAATAAGATAAATGGATAAAACAACACAATTAAATAAATAGAAAATACCAAAAATGCAGCGCGGTTTTACGTGGTAAATGTACGTTCGACGCACGACTCAAAACACACATAAACTCCTATTGAACTTACTTATACGCTTAGTTATGTAAAGCATAAATCAGTAAAATTAAAAAAAAATTAAAATTGAATAATATTATTATTATTATTACAGGCGCCCACCCAACACCAGTTGTCAAAACCATAATTTGTATAAAGCATAAAATTGAATCTGGCAAAAACATAGTATTGTTGACAAGGTAATAATTGAATCATCAAATATTTCAGAAGAACCAAAATTGGGCTCCCACCGTCTTTTTCTGCACTGACAATGTCACAGGATCGTCATCCATCGCATGCAGTAACGTCTATAGTCGACTCCGTCTGTAAGATGAAAAAAGGAAAGACAGTTAATTGAAGTGTAAGATATGGAAGCACGAATCATAACGTTCGTTTTCCAATTTATCATTAAAGGAATCTCTAGAGTCTAGACTCTGGATCGAATTGGAGGATCTATTTCTGGTGATTACTCTCCAAGACACAATAAAATTCGAAATTTTAAAGTGAAATTTGACACAAAGTCTACTTTATTTATTCAACTCAACGGATCAAATTGCCGCAAATAATTACCATTCAAATCGGCAAAATACGTTGGTGTATGTGATTAAAAAGACGAAATAGATAAATCAGTGTTGTTCATAAACATCTGTAAGAAAACCAGCTGTTTGCAAAAAAATAAATATAATTATAACATGTATAAGCCAAGTAGAATATTTGTTCTTTATAGCCGCTTACTTTGTTTTCTTTTTTAAATTGGTCTCGTTACTGGAAATATATAATCGGTTTCAATTTCATTTATTTGTTTATCCTGAAAATTTCTTAGATGTAGCAAAACGAGCTGTGTCACTGAAAAAGGGTAATGACAATGAACTATTCTGACAGATTTATGTTGTAAATTGAAACAACCCTCATGCATGACTGAAAACAAGCTTAGAGTAGGACTTAGTTTTCATTTGATTGAAAAAAAAATTAATAAAAAACTGTACAATGCATTGATAGAAATTATTACTCGTATGTATTGAATTCTTGAAAAATAAACACGTCAAGAAAGTTATCCGAAAAAAAAACGTTGAGTAATCATCTCGCCCGCTTTTTGAGTTTGAGATTGAAATAGAAAAAATTTGTACTTATACAACAATGCTCCATTGTCAACTAAAAGAAAAGGCTTTTCCCAAATAACTAACTCGACGCAACCTAAGGCCAACGCATAGAAAATGTAAACGCGTGCTGGAATGAACTGATGTTACTATTTTTGTTATACAAATCACTTTTTAGTACTTTTAAAAATCTGTTGGCGCGATAGTCAAGTAATCTTGTTGTTGCACATATACCGCATAATTTTAATGGGAATAGTAAAACATAATTAATAGTAACACTTTTCACATAATTGTATATTTCATTTAAGTACTACGGTGAGACAATTTACTTTAGTGTAGATTGGAATAAATTTCGAGAAATCAACTCAAAGGCTAAACAAAACATAGTCGACAAATTACCGGTGAGAAAAATCTTCAAGTCATAACTCAGTTTCTGAATGATCAGCTGCTGCATTTAAGTACTACGGTAAATTCAATTTATTTCAGTTAAGTCTAGTAAATTTCGAGGAATCAACTCAAAGGCTGAACAAAACATAGTGGACAAAATAACAGTGAGACATTAAGTCATCTGGAGTGACACAATCCAAAAACATAGTATAGATCGATGGTAATTACTTGAAATATGATACCCATATCTCAAAATATCACGATTTTAGCGATGTAAGTAGTTTTTGCCGAACTGCTTATCAAATCGTTGATATGCAATCCAGTATAATATTTTACGTTTTACAAGAAAGAAATTAGGAAAATGTTTAAGAACGAATCTGATGTATTTTCAAAAGTACGATAAGATCACCAAATACAGACAACGCAAATAATTAGCACTTCAATTGAACATATTCTTCAGCCTTTCCTATTTTCTAAATTTTGGCGTCGTTACAACATATAACATATTATCACGACGGATTAAATCCTTCTGAACATTATTTTTGGTTCTTTAAATAATTGAAAACGCCCACAAAAAATAGAAAAGTATTCTCATTTGTTGATTGGTGGTAAACATAAATCTATTAGATTCAAATCATGAAATCTATTTCAAATAAAATAAAAACTTTTTTGCTGCTTCAAATAATAAAATACTGCTGAAAAAAAATATCAAAATACCCTTATTTATTGATAGGTGATGAACACACCTATTAGATTCGATTTATAAATTTTATTTGGAATAATAAAAAAAAACGGTACAATAAAATTTTCTCTAATAAAACATAAACTTCTTCACGCTGAAATTAAATGCTATGAAAGAGTATTGCTAACGAGATATTCACAGAAGCACCAAGAATAATAAAAAACTTTTAAAACATTGGTCGCAATTGCGCGTAGGTGAAAGGAATCCATAATATACTGATATCGACCCATATCACGAATGCAACAGATTACCAGCACCCATTGAAACGGTACTTTAGTAAAACGAGCGTATGTAAACAAGAAATATTGAGCAAATTGAAAAAGTTTTACTGATCCGGGTAACCATGACCTAAATCTAAATATTTTTATAATCTCGTCTCAGCTGGGATTCAAACTTTTGCATAGTCAAGTTTTAAATTTAAATTGGCTTTCATATATTATATAAGATTGTCGTATTATTTCGGAAGGTCCATACTTCAACCATTATGTTGTTTAATACTACGATTATCGACCGCTAAAATCTTGATTCGCCGGAACCCCTCAAGTTTTATGATTCGCCACTTATAAAACATTATACCAAGAATAGCAAAATTAAAATTATAGCAGCGGCTTGATATATCTACTTTATTCATCTAAAACATCTGCTTACCTTAATGTTGCGTCAAAAGAATCAACGATTACGTTGAACAGCCCAACAGCCCTCCTACGAAATAGACAAACCGTTCGTCATCGCGTACCCCAGTGACTGGCTGAGAAAGGCGGAGCGCTTCTCAACATTCCCGCCCGAATCGATCAGCGATATCACATAATTAATTAACATTAATCAAATTGGAAAAAGGTCGAAGAAAGAATTGAGTAATTACTCGGGTTACATAAGGTCAATCCCTTGGTCCGACGATATCGCGTGTCTAGAGAGGTTCTGCGGTATACTCCATGTTGATGAGAATTTTACAAATGGCAACAAACAATGTTGCACGATGAAGATTCTGATTGGCTCATGGTTGTAACATAACAATTCTAATATTTTGATTACGGTATATAAAGTTTAAGTATGTTATTCCTTTTTTTCCTTTCCCAACGTAAAAATGGGGGGTTAAATTTATCTAAAAATTAGTTATATTTGAGGTGAACTTTTCAAAAAATATATATATTGCTACTGGTAGTTTAAACCTAGGCATGTTGTAATAATGGCTTATCTTTAGGGCTGACCGCCACGTGAGTATGATGCCCAACTCTACTTGACATTATAAATGCTTGTACGCGAGTAAAGCTGGCATGATAGTGCTATTGGTTTCTTATATGCTCGTGGTTGTTCTTTTCTGTGAATAAATATAGATTCGTCGAATTATAGTCATAAACACGAGACTTGACCATGGTGCAATATGATTCGTTCACTGTAATTTTCGGCACTTTGTTTAATCCCGTTTTTTGGGAAAACCCAAAAACATATTTAAAAGCGACCAATTTCATCGTTCATTCTGCTAATCCCATTAGCATCGCCTCTTTGTGATCATCAGCTGCAGTTAAGTACTATGGTAAAGGCAATTTACTTCAGTTTAAAGTCGAGTAAATTCCGAGAAATCAACTCGAAGGTCAAACAAAACAAAGTAGACAAATTAACAGTGAGACAAACTTCGAAAATCGACTCGGCGTCGCGTCGGAGTGGTAACTCAATCAAAAGTTGTATGCTTTGTCTTCCTCGAGAACACACCGATATATTTCCCAATGCTACAAAAATATTACATGCATTTAGACTTACTATCGCTTAGTGATACACCAAAGCTTCGTAACCTTAATGTTTAAACCATATTTGTCAGACACGTTACTAATAACATTCAGATCTGTCATAAACCGAATCTATTCAAATATTATTTTGTAAATGATTTTGGCTTCTCGACCGGCGACTATGGCGAGTACAGTTGGCAACTCTGACAAATTTCAATAAAAGACACTGTGACAGATACCACGGGCCTTGCCAAACTCTTCTGCTGTACGGGCGAGCTTCTGATAATGATGCTTATTATACCTAACTTTGAAAATTATATGTATGAATGAAATTATGGGGCGTACTAGGGGATTGTGTATTGAACTGCAGGTCCTTTCTCCTTGTTTACTTTCTATTCCGGATCCGTATGTGGCTGTTGCCACAAGGATGCGCGACTGAGATAGTATTATGAAGATAAATAAAAATCACATAATCTCTTTCCACGAAATATCAAGTATATTTATGAGCTTTCGTTAGATCATAGTCTAACTTCTTCGGATAATATGGCTTAATCAATAAGCTAATAAATGTACTTGATATTTCGTGGAAAGAGATTATGTTATTCTTATTTATGAATGAAATGTTTGTATTATTATCATTTAAAATTGTAAATGATCAAACTAAGCAACAATCACACCCCTATAACGTGCTGCCCGGGGCGGCTGCCCCTATGACCCTCCTCTAGACTCGCCCCCGCACGTATCCCCAAGATTTAAATTAATTAAGTGCTAAACTTTGAGAAAGAAAGAAATTCAAGCCTCATATACGCTGATAATTCTGCGACACAAACGAAACTATTTGGAAAATATTAAAACAGTTACGAAACACTTGCTTTACCTTCACATCCTCTCTTTTCAAAGCATTTTCAGTGAAGCAGCAGAAACGTCTATTCTACAACATGCGGAAAAAAGACTTTTATTTTTTTAAAGCATAAGAACTATCTCTGAAACAACAAACATTGGATGCAAATGGAAATTTTCCGTAGCAAAGCACTGTTTTCTTTCGGGTTTCCTACAAATTGAGGTTATAAATCGCTAATCAAGAAAGCTCCACGTGATAGGTGAAACGCTAGTAAATAAAGCTCTGCGCTTTGAAAACGAGTTGATTTTGAGATAAACTAGTGCTAAGAAAATTCAACAGGTATCTTTATTGTGTGTGCTATTTTGCATTAGGCCTGTTTCTAATTCAGAATTACAATTTATTAAAGTTGGCGCTGATGTAGTATACAAAGGCAATCAAAAAGGGGTCCGGAAACAACAAAAAACACTGGTATACATAGGTATTTCAACTTATTTCTCAAATTAGTAAAAATAATGAAAACATCTGCTGCCGATTTCATCTTATCATGGCGGGAACGCGCACTCCTATCTCGTAACTGCCAACATCTCAAATCAAGTTGAAGAACCTTTGAGCCGTCCTCCCGGACCAATCGAAACTATTCCAGGACAGTATTTAAACGCGTTTGTATATCGAACGATTAAGTCTATTGTTTATTGTACACTGTACAGTAATTATTTAATGTTTTGTTACCTACATATGTTACATATCTCTTATAGTAAAGCGATGCAAATATGGGACAATTAGCGCTCTTTTTAAATTCCAATATAGGACAGAAGCGCTCAGTTGACGGACTGTCCTTTGAAACAAGAGAGCGCGATTCTCAAATATACTGACACGAAGACCAAAGCGAAGCAGTAGTCCACTTTACATTTTACAGTACCGTTTCTGTCAACACAGAAACTTTTGAAATAAGTAAAAGTAATAGCCTTCTAGCGTAAAATACAATCTCTAACCACTGAAAATTTAAAAAACAATTGTTCTATTAGTTAATAAGAAAAGCGGTTCATACGGTAACAATAATAAGACAAATACCAACAAAAACAACAACATAATATAAACAAAACGATCCATAGTTCCATTTCGTGTCCAATGAAAAGCAGTTTGCAACCCCACATAAATCTGGATCGTTTTGTTATTATGTTGTTGCTGTTCTTCATGTTAGAATTTATTTTCAAATGCAATTATGCAAAAATAGCTTTTCTCTTTAATTACTTGACCAATTGCTTTGAAATCTTCAGTGGTTCAAGATTGTATTTTTCGCTAGAAGCTATTACTTTTACTTATTTCAAAAGTTTTTGTGAGCTCTATGGAATTCGTTTTATGTGCTATGACGTCATTTCCCAATGCTACAAATGACGTCATCAACCTAGTGGTGGTTTCGCGAACGCATATCAGCGGGATCTCTTGCTCAGCGATCGTCGGCGGATCTCCTACTTAGCGAAAGTGGGAAGTTTTTATGAAGAACAGTGGACTGCAGTACCTGATTGGGTAATATAAAGTGACTCGAATTAGTTTTTATTACAATTCACATTGAAATTGAATCTTAAAGATTGATTTATCGTCACAGGACCTGGATAAACGAGGTCAGTCCATGTACCGTGCGTATTCCTAACGCTTAGCCACGACGCGCCACAAGCCAAGCCAAAGGATAGAAAAATCATCAAATATACCTCACGACCCTGCTAAACACGATCCAAAATCAGGTGGGTCGGAGGCTGCTTACCGCCTAAATCTGGCGGGACTATTGTGGTAACACAACAAAAGATCAATGCTCGAATATGTGAACACGAAGGGCAAAAAAAGAAGTATCAAATTTTTACAGTACCGGCATCCCAACCACCAGTCCACCGAAACCACGGTACCCAGTGTTTATTCTTATGGTGTCATCACACATAACTCCGAAGTGAAAATGAAATTCCATAGAGCAGACAGACATTTTTGAAATGAATAAAAGTAATAGCCTTCTAGCGACAAAAATAAGCTTCAACGACCGAAAATTTTAAAGCAATTGGTCCAGTAGTTGAAGAGAAAGGTAGATTTTTTCACAACAACACCAAAATAACACAGCGATGCTCAAATACATGCATGTGATTTGCATACATGTTTATGTATATCTCTAAATCAGTCTCCTCTTGATCGGAACACCATGTGCTGGGCTTTGAAAATTACCAAAATCACCATATATTAGGCGAGTTACGTCAACTTCGCGTCAGATTATCAAAATTCAAGTTTTTGTTGAAATTTATTGTACTTTGCTCACAATATTTTGGACTATATCTTTAATATGAAATCAGCCCCCTCTTGATCAAAACACCAGGCTTCTGGGCTTTAAAAATTACCAAAATCGCCATATGCGAGTTACGTCAATTTTGCGTCAGAATACCAAAATTCAATCGAAAAATTGACATAATCTAAGTTTTTGTTGAAATCATTCGACTTTGCAAACAATCTTTAGGACTATATCTTTAATTTAAAATGAAATAAAATCAGACCCCTCTTGGCCGAAACATCATGCTGCTGGACTTTGAAAATCACCAATATGCGATTTACGTCAATTTTGCTTCAAAATACCGAAATTCAGTCAAAGATTGATATATTTCTAAAACATTTTTAAAATCCATTCGCTCCTACTCACAATCTTTATGATTATGTCTTTCATTTGAAATAATGAAATCGTCCCCTCTCACGGTTCTTTGCTTCATTTAATCCGGCATTTCCTTTTTTATATCAATTTCGCATTGTCATTTATTTTTTCGTGTGTGCATTTCGGTTACGCCCATTTTTTCTGGCAACGTTCCATTCACATGAGCAAGTTTTAAAATTTGCTGCTAGTGGCAAACCTTCTTCTAATTTTGCGCAGCGTCGTTTTTTTGTATTGTAGATTCAGTGTTAACTTATAAAAAACGTAGGATTGTATTTCATGAAGAGATGGGTTAGGATAGGAATAAAGTCATGAGGTATGTACTTTAAACTGACTGCATTTATTGTGCATTTAGTTATATATATATATATGATTAAAGAGGGTTTGGAAGCGTTGTAGTCCAAACTATTTTATAAACCACATGACCTCACACGCTTGGCCACAATATCATATTATATGTTGAGTGGAGTGAATAAAGCAAGTTCGTTTCAGAACTTTGTCTGGTTGTGTGCATAAGAAATTCT